TCAATGTTGTCGCTTTAATTTTTGCAGTTTTCTACTTTTCAGCCATTTTTAACACGTATTGAATCATATTTTGCAGATTTTATTGTCTGTGAATTTTGAAAAAAAGCAAAATCCACACAAATTTTGGGCCAAAAAATTTTTTGCTATACCGTAATTGAGATAAATGACATCATTAATAATTACCATATTATTTTAAGGAAGTGTCTAGAGCTCCGGTAACCGGACACAGTATGCAGTGCTAGAGCTCCGGTAATAGGGGCTTCGCCCCTATATATATACTGGGGCTACGCCCCAGCATTAATAATACACTGATTTATATTATAGAAACCGAGTATAAATACAACAACCAGCGTTGATGATGCAGCAGGGTCGTGGTGGTGCAGTGGAGAGGCTGGTGTGGATTGCACGGATATGGTCAGGGGTTCGAATCCGGTCAGGACTACCGAGTAAAACTATGCTGCAGTTTTTGATTTTTTCTCTTTTTAAAAATATCTTTTTTGCAATTTTTTCTTTTTGGCTTTTTTGGGTCAAGAAATAGCACCCTCTCGTACATCTTAGCCTCCGGGTTCGTAGGGTTGGGATTTGGGTTTAGTGTTTAGTTTTTAGAGCACCCTCTCGTACATCTTAGCCTCCGGGATTGTAGGGTTTTGGGGTTAGGGTTTAGTGTTTCTTGATAAAAAGACTAAGTTCCATTTTGCACTATTGCGCATGCGCACAAGCTGTTTTACAGAGAAAAACGGACTGCCGGAGCTCTAGCATTGCAAACTACGTCCGGTTACCGGAGCTGTAGACACAGCCTTATTTTAAATAGCTTATCAACAGTCAGTCCTTTCTCCACTTTATTTCTTTTCTGACATTATGGCCCACACTGGCACTCACTCCCTCTGTCATCTCCTAACAATGACATTAATATTCTAATAAAAGCCCACAATACAGTACTAATTCAATTTACTTTTATTGCTCTTAGGCCAAAGGAAGTAAGTTATAACTAGTAGGAATATCCCGTAGAGAAGGATTATGAAATAAGGAAAGGTACCAGTTCCCTCGTTAAACTCTATCTGAACCATCAAGAGTCAATGGGTGTGTCAATAGTGAATGTCTGAATGACACTTAGGACACGTGTGTACACGTGGTTAGGGTAGACGCGCCCCTATATGATTATTGTTAGACACGCCCTATAGCTTTTAGAAAGACGCACTGCTGATCAAGCTGCTGCTCCTGCCCTGCTCCTGCTCTGCTCCTGCTCTGCTCCTGCTAGGCTAACTGTTTTGTTTTCTCACTTTTCAATAAACGTCTTATACTGCACTAATCATGGCTACTCAGGAAGATCTAGTAAGTATATGTACTATCAGTAGAGGATATGATTAATGTATTGTAGAGTATATTGTGTGTTAGTGAAGATAATGTAATGTGTACTGTTGATGAGTGTTTGATCTGGAGTGGGATACCCTCAGTATACAGTCTCTCCTATATACAATATAATATACACTGGTAGTGGAGGGGCCCTAGGGCTGGGACTAACAATGTTATTATCATTTGTGGGGAAGGTATAATAAGGTCAGGGGGATACAGGGAAAGGGAGAAGTCCCACCTTTACTGTATAAGTTACCCTAAACATTTGTACATGGTGAGGTGTATCATCGTTTCCAATAATACATGTAGAGTTAATATTTCCTCTTGTACCTTATGATAGCATACAGTGTGTTACCAGAGCTAGTGTTACTGTATATCAGGCAGAGTTTCATGTAGTTCCTTTCATTCTAATTCCTTGTGGAATGAATATTCTCCAAATGAAAAAAGTCATTCCTCAATGTTACATGTACAAAATGACAGCTTAAAACTTAAATTAAACAAGACTAATCCAAAATAAAACCAATGAAATATCCCAGTGTACAGTATTGTGTGTGGTAATAATAATTCATTGATATTATAATGATATTCATATATTCCTTAGAGGGAAGGGTGGAGTCACTGAACAGTGTTCATGATTTCAATTACTGTATAGCAGGAAAATGTCTTTGAGTGATAATTTGCCTTTGTTTCATTGGCCAAAATTTCGAGACAATGAAAATTTGAGACAATGAAAATTTAATCTCACTAAAATTTTGACCCACGCCAGATCCTCTTTTCACTACAGCCACAGCTTCACAATCTGTGGCATTATCAGGCTCGACACAGAAAGGCAGTTCTTCTCCAACTGATGGGCTTCAAGTGTCTGTGGTAGCCACAAACAATGGACTCCCTGACAGATTCTTCTAT